ACTGCTAATACAGTGCAGACAATACATATACAATTATACTAACATGAATGTATTAAATGATCTGTATGTAGCCCTGTACTATGGATCATTTAACCCATTCATGTTAGCAGAGGATCATTGTAAATGTATTGTTGCAGGCACTCTATATGTACATGTACTATATACTACATATAGAGTGCACTGAACAATAGATTTACAATTATCCTCTGCTAATATGAATGGGTTAAATGATCCGTAGTACATGATATGTAGCCCTGTACCCCCTTTTCCACTTACAGAGCTAGGTTATTTTTCTTTTAAATAAATATTCATGTAATTTTATTGGTATCTATCTACCAGTAGCTGCCTCATTTCCCACCCTCGGCTTATATTCAAGTCAATACTTTTTCCCAGTTTTTTGTGGTAAAATTAGGTACCTCGGCTTATATTCTGGATGGCTTATACTCGAGTATATACGGTATTTAAATTTTTATTTATTTTATTATTTTAGGACTTTTTTTTTTTCACTTGACTTTATTGCTATTACACAGGGGATAAAAATCCCGTGTGATAGCATTTGGAGGTGACAGGTTCTCTTTATTGACCCTGTTACCTCCAACTCAGGAGTTCTAGCACAGCACTGCGAGTGCAGCATTTCTGTGTCAGTTATCTCACGGAGCAGAGAACGGAAGCTCTGCTCCCCGCTCTCCATCATGATCTAATTTCCCCTGGTCCCAGGTCCCTTCTGTTCTCCGATCTCCTCCACACACTATGGGACCAGGAGCGACGCTGATTACATCACTTTCGGGCCCATAGCTGTCATTGCTGGGCTACTAAAGCGATCTGCACTTCAATAGCTTATTTAGAGTGTAGAGGTGACACTAGGGGCTTTTTGGACTGCGGGGGCTGCGTGTGATTAGTACGCAGCCCCCGTCCTTCTCTATGGGAGTAGGGGGGCCGTACGTCGCCCTACGCTCACCCCAAGTGCAGGTCTGTACGGGTGCTTGTTTCCTGACACGGCGCAGACAGGATCACACACAGCACCTGTCCTTCCCGAGAGCTGAGCGATACGGCCGTGCACAGAGCTGTACGTGCCGGCCTTTTCGAATGTGAATGAGGGCTTATATCTTACAAAACAAAAGGGTTTTATATAGTGTTTTGGGGCACTAAATTTAACTTAAGTGCATCTTTCACAAAACTTTTGGGTTTGATAATAAGTTGCGCTAATGTCGTGCAACATAAAAATTTGCAACTGCCATCATTTTATTCTAAAGGGTCTTGGCTTTCAGGAAATATATCATGTTTGGGGCCTAAAATGTGGATTATAACATGTAAGCAAAAAACGAAAGGCCTTGGTCCGTAAGGGGTTAATTGTGTGATCCAGTTAGAATTTAAGGTCCAATCCTGAGATGTATAGAGGGAGTATAGCCTAATTGATGAGTGGGTCAGTTTTATCTAGGCATTGTTGTACTGCAACCAGTCTACCCCCACTTCTCTTTTTCTGTAACCTGAAGGTCCTGGAACATACCTTCTGATAACGCTGGAACACTTTCTGCATGCCTTTCCTCTTGCAATACCATCTTTTAAGACTTTTAACCTGTGTTCAGATCCATCTCTCCATAGATGTTGCAAGTTTTTTTTTTTTTAAACTCTCATGTCCATCTCTCTAGCAATTCCTAGTTTGCAGCTGTGAAAATCTGTAAACATCTGCTTTAGCTTCAGATGTCTGTCATTGTTCAGTCTGCCTGCTTCATCCTTAGGAAATACAATTGTTTTTTTACACAGAGTTTCACAGCTGCTAGAGATTGCCAAATGAGTTGTGACATGTAGAGTCCCGTTACATCCTAAAATGTAAGAAGAACTCTGGGCATATTACAAATGACCACTTGCAGTGGGGCTACCCCTGCACTGCAAGGGTTAAGTGCTCGTTTTGCTCTAGGTTCTAAAATAAAAAACAACAAAATAGAACAATAAATGGGGCTTTTCAGGTGCTGAAAATACTTTTTACAAACTCATGTCTGAATAAAAAACTTTTTTTATTTATTCATATTCAAATTGTATCTTAAAATCAATAGTGCACATATCCATTTCATTCTAATAGTATTACAGCAAAATACTTCCATGTACATAAGGTATTAAATACCACCAATCATACTATCTTGCTATAAAGACTTGAAGTGTTTCACGATATTGCTTCTTCTGGAGCTCTATGAATCCATAAATTAGGCAATTACAGTTTGTTCCATTTTCTCAAAAATTATATATACATAATCTACATGTGTCAATCATTATTCAAACATGTTAAAGTTGTCCATTTTAGCAACTCACCTAAAAGTCTGTGGATACTGACACCGTCTTGCACCTGCAGCAGGCGGGAACAGGAGTGAGAGGCGAAAAGGAGAGGCAGAGCCGAAGGGTAAAAGGCAGTGCCTACAACACCCAGATGAGGGCCTTCTGGGGAGATCATTCCATTGATCCTGGATCCTGCAGCAGTGACCACTCACCTCTCTTCCCCTCCGTTTCCTCACGTCCAGTGCAAGTCATTGGACTTGTATTAAATGTGATGACGCCACAGGTCCTTATACCGCCAGAACCCAGGGAAGAAGAGGCTGTGGGGACCGGTCTAACAGCCACCGGGATTGAGAAAAGGGTGAGTATATCTTTTTTTATTTTAGACCCTAGACCAAAACGAGCACTTAACCCTTGCACTGCCAGGGTAGCTCCACTGGAAGGCTTAGTTTGTAATATGCCCGGAGTTCTTCTTTAAAGATGTTTGAGAAAAAATGTTTCACAAATAAAATCTGATTTAAATACTCTCTTATACTTTTTGGAAATGACAACCAAACCAAATAAAACATTAAAAATATAAATTGTAATTTATATATATTTACATGCTCAGTATACTACTGGCATTGTTGCTTCATAGCAGTGAATATTAGTAAGCACATTCATATTTTCCACGTTTCTAATATGTGGGTGTTTCTGACATTAGCTCCTGTCTGTTGGTTAAAATCTCATGTTGAATAATATAGTACAGTGACTAAATGATTAGAGTTGTTCATCATTTTAAATAACATCCATCAAGGCCATTAAAAGTTTGGATCTGATATATCCGTGAGCTGACGGCCTAAAATTGTCTTTTCCCATTCCGAGAGCTGCTGCACAAATCCTCTGTTTGGTCTCATGTTGGTTTTACATTTAAGAACATGGTTCCAAGCTTCCTGAAAAGAAAAAACAGCATGAAATGAGCTCATTGGGGGTAGGTTAACCAGAGATAATGTAGTTTGCACTTGGTAAGAATATGAAATACAATCTGCATCAGAATATCTAATAATGTTTAGGTCTATAAAATATAAAAAAAATCATGGAATGTCAGTTGAGAGTATGATAAAACAAAGTGAGTACACAGATTTGCATAATGTCAGTGGCATGCCCCGGATTTTCTTTGGACTCAGGAAGTCTGACAGCTGGGCAGTGAGAATACTTAGGTGCCACCGTGGCAGAATTGCCACTGGCTGGTCCTCTCTGTATGAAAGCCACATTGACGTTTATTGTATCGGGAAAAGTCAACTGCTGGCACAATTTTCTGGCAATTTTTTTTGTAAACCTCTGACAGTGTACAAACTATCTTATATGTACAATTTAATCCATTAGTGATATGCTAAGTTTCCATCTAATCCACACATCCTAATGGCAAATTTACACTATATTGGCAAAAGTATTGGGACACCCCTCCAAATCATTGGATTCAGGTGTTCCAATCACCTCCATGACCACAGGTGTATACAATCAAGCACCTAGGCATGCAGACTGCTTCTACAAACATTTGTGAAAGAATGGGTCACTCTCAGGAGCTCAGTGACTACAAGCGTGGTACTGTGATAGGGTGCCACCTGTGCAAAAGGTCCATCCGTGAAATTTCTTTGCTACTAAATATTCCATGGTCAAGTGTTAGTGGTATTATAACAAAGTGGAAGCAACTGGGAACAGCAGCAACTCAGCCACAAAAGTGGTAGGCCGCGTAAAATGACAGAGCGGGGTCAGCGCATGCTGAAGCACACAGTGCGCAGAAGTCGCTGTCACACGCCCTGGCTATCACTGAGTGTACAGGATCACAGCTGCGGATGGTAGTCACCCTTGTGGAAACTGTGCGGCAATCAGTCTTAAATCCCAGGCGTCACTCTCAGTCAGTAGCGGAGAGTTTGGGATTCGAGCATCATCAGCCGCTTAAAACAAAAGAGAAAAGGAGCGCTGAGGAGTTATTCCGTCATAACCCCCAGTCTCATAAATGAGGGGTATCACTTAAATTGCATTTACTGGTAGTTAAAGCAGCAGTAAGGTATGCAATGGGTTCCACAGGATATTCAATGAAAAGGGCGTCTCAGTAATGTTGCTTGGATTGCAGGAGGGGTTGCAAGGCATAGGCAGTCCATACATAACACATAAATACACACTCCCCACCAGGATATATGTAGGTATCAATGAAGAGGTGCTAGTAATAGGCAGTCAGTATCGCATATATCGGGAATGCAGTTCAAATAGACTGGACTCAAACAGAGCAAGGCAGTACCAGCAATGTAGATCAAATGCAGAGTACTTGCGCTTTTGGAGAGATAACCTCAGGATCCAGGACCCCTCTTCTAGGCAATGAGGTGGCAGCTTGCAGTCTGAGCACTATGAAGACAGGCTGGTGAGTAGGAGATTCCAGGCGTTAGTAGAATAGTGGAACGCCCTACTAACGTTCCTGTCAGTTTAAATAGCCCCTGGACGCGGAAGTGGAGCCTCGCGGCCTCCCGCCACTTCCGCGTTCCACCGTGGAGCGCATAACACCTCCCCTACTTGGGGAGGAAGTGAGCTGTTCGACTCGCAGGCCGATGCGTTCCACGGTGGAACGCACATGGCCCGCGGCACGGTTTCGGGGCTCGTTACAGTCGCCAACTGTCTGCAGAGTCAATAGCTACAGACCTCCAAACTTCGTATGGCCTTCAGATTGGCACAACATCAGTATGTAGAGAGCTTCATGGAATGGGTTTCCATGGCCGAGCAGCTGCACCCAAGCCTTACATCACCAAGTGCAATGCAAAGCGTCGGATGCAGTGGTGTAAAGCACGCCGCCACTGGACTCTAGAGAAGTGGAAACGTGTTCTCTATAGTGACGAATCACACTTCTCTGCCTGGCAATCTGATGGACGTGTCTGGGTTTGTCGGCCGCCAGCAGAACGGTACTTGCTTGACTGCATTGTGCCAAGTGTAAAGTTTGGTGCAGGGGGGATTATGGTCTAGGGTTGGGCTTGGCCCCTTAGTTCAAGTGAAGGGAACTCTTAAGGCATCAGCATACCAAGACATTTTGGACAATTTCATGTTCCCAACTTTGTGGGAACAGTTTGGGGATGGCCCCTTCCTGTTCCAACATGACTGCGCACCAGTGCACAAAGCAAGGTCCATAAAGACATGGATGAGCGAGTTTGGGGTGGAGGAACTTGACTGGCCTGCTATCAGGTGCGTCCGCGGGCGAGCAGCACAGAGGGAACCCGCTGGCACTGTTCGATGATCCCCAGAACAGTTGATCGGTTAGGAACAGAGGAAATGCCGCCCGTGGAGCTGGAAGGGGACTGGAAGGTGACAGATCCGGTGGCCCAGTTGATCAAGGGGTTGTGTTTCCGGAGCCAGGGAATCCCCAGGATGACGGGGAACAGTGGAGAGGGCACGATGTCCCAAGCGACCCGCTCGGAATGGTGGGTACCGATGTGGAGGAGCAAGGGATGTGATTCCATGGCGACGGGACCGGTCTGCAGGGTGCTACCGTCTACCATGTGCAGCTGCGATGGGTTCCTTTTCGGGCGCAACGGTATCCCCAACTGTAGAGCTAGGTCCTTGTCCATGAAGCAGCTGCTTGCGCCCGAATCAATGATGGCAACGAGATTAACGCCATTCTTGCCCAACTGCAGGGAGACAGGGATGGTGAGATGAGACGGGTTACAGCACACAGAAAAGTCAGTACACGAAGTGGGTGCATCTGTCCTACCTGCCGGTGGTTTGACGGGACAGTCCTTCAAGAAATGGTCAGGCTTGGCGCAGTATAGACACAGACGTAGCACCCTGCGTCTGGTCCTCTCGACCGCGGAGAGCGGCCCACGAACCACCCCGATCTGCATGGACGGTACACGGGAGGTCAGCAGAGGGTTCAGGAAACAGGCAACAAGGCACATAGGAGGGGAGCGTCGTACCATGAGGTGGAATAACTCAGCAATAAGCCAGAGCTCAGGCCAGGTTTTTATAGCCAGGGGAGTTAGGACCACCCCCCGGTCACCGAGGCAACCAGGAGGCTTCCTTCCTCGGGAACCAATGGCAGGCGAGAGAGATGGAAGGTGTGTACAGGGAACCTCCCCCAGCAAGGCTCACACCTGATGCCTAATGGAGCAGGAGTGCTACACACGTGCCCCCGGGGATGCGCGCGCAGCCTGCGTACCGCACATGCGCACCCGCCGTGCGACTCGAGCATGCGTACCCGCAACCCGGGCACCAGGAGTTCTGCCTAGCTGAGGGGAAACCCGTGCCCTGCGCCGTGCTCGTCGCCCCCGAGCAGGGGCAACACCCCCTGCTTCCTGACACCTGCACAGAGTCCTGACCTCAACCTGACAGAACACCTTTGGGATGAATTAGAGACTGCGAGCCAGGCCTTCTCATCCAACATCAGTACCTGACCTCACAAATGCGCTTCTTGAAGAATGGTCAAACATTCCCAAAGACACACTCCTAAACCTTGTGGACAGCCTTCCCAAAAGAGTTGAAGCTGGTATAGCTACAAAGGGTGGGCCAACTCAATATTGAACCCTACGGACCAAGACTGGGATGCCATTAAAGTTCATGTGCGTGTAAAGGCAATATAGTGTGTGTACTTATCTTCAGCCACAGGCAACAGCCTATGAAAGTTTCTCAACTTTTTTCAGTCGCGGCACCCTTCAAAAGTATGAAAATTCTTGAGTCACCCCAGTCTAAAATGTAAATGGATTTTAAGGGGGACCCCAGGGTGCCACGGGAACACTGGTTGAGAAAGGCTGGCACATAATATAAAAATGAATTCAATCCATATGGAAATCTTAGATGATGCTTTGAACAAAAATGGCCAGTAGGTGACAGTATCTTCCAGTAATGCTTGTATTGCACATATTTGTTCATTTTGTGTACAGCCATCTTTTGGCTGTCCCTAATAAAGAAATAGGTACATACTTTTATACCTTTTTTTAATTCTCACTAGCGTTAATTCCTGTGTATATATTCTACTAACATTGTCACCATATGGATTGGATAGCCTCAGAGCTGTTTTACAGATAGGCAACACAATTTAAGAGCCTTCTGGATTGTACTGAGATGCCCCTCCTACTGTGATCCTTCTGTATCTTTCCTTTTCAATGGAATTTCTAATAAAATGCTGGTAGAAAGTACCATTCGTCATCTGTTCACTCAAAACTAGCAAATGACTGAAACAAAGGATGACAGACTACTGTGGTTAAAAGTTGACAGAAAGGGTCACAATTGTTCACACTTAAATAGCTAATTGGCTGTCACAGGTGATAGAGAAGAACTTCAGAGATTTTAGGTAGGGAAATTCGGTACCAGACCCATTCACCCCAGTCTTGCAACTTATCCCACAACTGATCCCTGTTGACATAAGCACTTGTGCAGCCTGCCCACTCAGTTTTTCCCACTGATCCTGCAGCAATTGACACTGAATATATACAGAACATAGAGTGAAAAAGGGATCCTACATACTCTGACCCTCTAGAAGACAAATTCTACAATCATCTTGATATTACCTGGAGTGTCCATTTTCTGGCATGGATGAGATATGCTATGACCACAGTGCTGCTTCGACTGATCCCTAATGTAGAAGAAACAAGAACGGCACAGTTTGGAGCCATGTGAGAATCTACAAAGGAAACAGGTAGACATCAGTCAGTGAAACCATAATATTGCACTTATTTAGATTATCTGTAAGCATTTACATTTTTTAATAAACAGATCAAAGAGAATCATTCTCTTGTTATGTTTGGATACTTCCTTTGTTAAATTGTATATGGTAATAATGAACATGCAATTAGCAATAAAACATTTATTTCAGAGCTATAGATCCCTGGTGCCCAACCCGTGGCCCAAGTGTCATTTCTAATTAGGCCATTTTCGAATTATTTATGCGGCTCTTGGACCCCAGTAGTTAGGAATGGGAACACTAACTTTTAAAAAGCTTATAAAGGTAGTGGCCTCTAACAGTCACCTGTACCATGTGCCTAGTTTGTGACTGTTCCCTGCAGCATGACCTCAGTCACTTGTCAATCCTGTAGCATGTCCTCAGTCCCTGACCATCTCTTGTAGCATGTCTAAGATCTCTCACAGTCTTCTATTGAACAAAATAAGTATTTATTTCCTGTGCTCCTCAGCACTATCTAGTGGTCTTAATTCTGTATTTTTCATAAATAAACCCCCTACCATATGGTACTCAGTAATGTAAAGTTACTTACAAATTAAATACTTCTTTTCTTGTTTTTTTTTTATTTATGTGTATTTTTTTTTAATGAATGTAAATTAAATGAATAAAGCATAATATCATAGTCATGACACTTCTAATTTTAAAAACAAAACTGATGCAATGCTGTTAACAAGGATGGGATGAGAGATAAAAAAATCTTTGATTTGATGAGATATAATAATGCTTTTATCTGATCAATTCAATGGCAAACTTTCTTGTAAAAAGGCTGACATCAAGCTCCAATTATTTCAAAGACCAAAGGTTATAAATTAACGTAACAGTTCCTTATCATATAAAGAAATATTATCTTAGTGAACATTTAATTACCCAATATATTTCCACTTTGAGAGGCAAAGTTTGTTTTGACTGAACATTTTCTGTAAAAAAAAAAAAAAAGATAACTTCTTGAAGTTGCTGATAACTTCTTGAAGTTGAACTTCAAAAAAATCTCCATTAGCTTTGGAAAGAATAGGGAAACATTTGAACCACTGTCAGGTTTTAATTGCTGTCCATGTTTCTGTTGGGAAGATTTTACCTTCCTGATGTGTCACGGGGACACAGACACCAATAAACATTTGTTTTAGTAGTGTAGGGAAGGGTTAGAAATTCGAACAGCTTTTTGATGTCTGTGAAGACATTTCCTTCCTTGTTTTGTCACCAGGACAGTAAGTGAGGGGAGATCTGGGACAGGGACAGGTACAGAGACAGCAATAAAAATGTGAAAGAGATTTCACCCTTGGTCACTTTATACCTAACTAACTAAAAAAAAAAATTGTTCTCGAGCTCTACATTAAACATATTTTTCAGCATTTTGAGCAGTTTTCTAGTTTTAGGGCCCATTCATACTACTACACTGTTGTAACAGTGTTACAATGCACCTTGCTGATGGACGTGTGCTGCAGCAAAGCACAAAGCAACACACTGACATGCATTGTGATGTGCTGCCAAAAATGCGACCTGCATGTTTTTGTGCTATTTGATTCATTTGAATGGACTGCCTTAACGCAACGCATGGCATAACATGTGTGCTAATTTAGCACTATAGTATGAATTAGCTCTTAAGGGAGTAATAGCTTGTTTGTCAATTGCTATGTAGCGAACTGCACATATGAAGGACATTATTATTAATAATTACATTTTTCTGAACCCCTACTGTAAATATATTACATAACAAATAATCTGATAGTCAGGAGAGGGTTTCTAATTACAAAGATTACTTTTATTTCCAAATAACTTTTTTTTTTTACTGTTCCTGCTCTGAGTGGCTATTGCAGTAATCACATGATCAGAAGCAGGCAGACGCCAGAGAATGAATGCGACACTTCATAACAGCTCTGGATTAAGTCAGTTCTGGTTTCGCTCAGTCAAAATTTGATCAGTGTATGACCAGCTTAATGCTCCCTGACCATATGGGGTCCTGTACCGAACTATACACCCCACTAGAGGCCACCCCCCCCAGATTGTGGCCTATATATCATATCTGCATCCAAGATGGCCTCCCAAATCTCGCAGGAACTCCAGGACCAGTCAGGATCTAGACTTCCAAAGATGGTGCTGGATGTCCTCATTTGACGACAACCCAATACTATGTCAGATTCCTGTCAGCAGAAATATTAAAGCGGCGGTCACCTGACCACTTTCTTGATATTCCCAAATCAGATAGGATAAACACATTGAAGGCTAATACTACAACCCTCACTGACTACAAGCACAAGAGAGCACAACACCAGGGGGCTTGACCTAACTCCCTACTACATGCTTGCATTATTTTCAGATTGTCCTTCCCAACCTGTTTTTAAAGCGGGCCTTTACACCCTTTGACTAAAAATCACATCAGCATACAGCTCTGCATGCTGATATAAAATAATCTTACATTCTTTAGCTAAACAAACATATTTTTATATTACTTACAATTTCTTATTTTCTACTTCCTGGTCCACTTTGGCACAAATTATGTATCCAATAATTATGTGTCCAAGCGTTGGATCCTGGGAAGGTTATATCAGCAGTGCATTGCTGGGAAATCTCATCTGTAATGTCATGAGATCTCAGAGAAAGACATTTTCCTCCCCTGAGATGATGTGCATGCTCCTATGTCCTAGTCATATGTGCCAGAGTTCCAGGAAGTAAAGGGAGATCTAGTAACCTGCCCTCAGTTAAAAAGGCCACTGCCAGAAGACTGGGAAGGAATGGAGAAATAAGGTATGCAAAAAATAAAAAGCCGGCAATTATCTAGAAGTATGTGTTTGTAGATTGTCATTCCTAAACATTTCTGAAGGTGTCTTTGTTGTTATTTTGAAGATATGGGTAAAGTTCTCCTTTAAAGGTGCAAGCTCCAGGGCTGTCATCCTCATCCGTGTCTCACTACTGGGTCAGTGACTCACTAAGCAAGGACTGACTTCACTGGCTGGAAGAATGGCAGACAGAACTGGCGGCACCCATACTTCAGTCCTGACAGGTTCCCCTTGAATAAGTGTGTAGATTTTGTCTGTTTTACTTGTAGCTTCCCTAAAGGTGGGGCATCAATGAAAAACAGTACCACTTACCTATAAACTGACAAGCAGTTGGGAAGAATTGTAGAAGATCAGAATCACCTGAATCTGACACGGCAATGTGTAGTATAGGCACAGACCTAAAAAATATATCACACCGATGAGAAATTGTTTTCTAAAATATATTGGGATTCCGTATGACTTGCTAAAATTTCGAATTGAATCCCGCTAATACTGTGTCCTTCATACCATGTTGTTAAAGTGTATGTAAACCCTAACATTCTGCCTCCTGTTATTTGTTACCTTTTGATCTGTTGAATATCTGTTGATTGTGCCAGAAATCCAGTGCTGACCTGTGCGCTCTGTAGTGTTTTCACAAGCATTGAGACTACAGAACACCTCTCCCATGTCATGAAGATGAAGAAAGGGGAAAGAGTGCTGTGGTCCTTACACACTTCCTCTTCTAGTGTGATAAAACTTTTCCTCCATAGTTACAGTACAGTGAGTGAGCTTTGTTACTCTAGGACACGAAGGCCACCAGGTGAACAAAGGGGGGGGGAAAACGACTGAAAAAAGAAAATTAATGCAGCTACCACGTCTAATGACTGGACTGCTGTATTATATTACATTTTTGTTTAAATGCACTTTAAAACCATGGCTGCAAATTTTCACAGCTTTGACATTGTGTTATTATTGTCTGCCTCAAGCACTTTAGTGAGGGCCTTAGAAATAAAATTAATTTGTCATCATGAACATTAATGCACTCTACTTCCTAGATTGTACAGGGTAAAGGATAACGAAAAGGCTGGAAATATGTCACAACACAGTACTAAGGAAGGGACTTCACTAAAGTCACACAGTAAAAAAAGAGAGATCCTATAAGTCATGTCCCATGACACGTTGAACACGGTGAGAATGCCTAATCTTAAGGCTATCAATGCAAAACGCTTCAAGGATTACCTGTTTCCAGATGTATTTGTGATTTTTACTTTATTACATCTCTGTAAACTCCATTGCTGCTCCCATCCACAGAGCTCAAGCCTCTGACTCCAAGTCAGAGGATGTTGTAGACCTGGCCTCACTGTGTTAGGTTATACACAGCAGTCAGATGAAGTGCTGCCTGTACTTAACAGACGGTGCTCTGCCAATGACAGGTTACACAGTGGGGCGGCTTTCCCCGTTGTGTAAACTGTTAGAATCCGGTTTAAATGGTGAAAAAGGTGACAGCTTTTTCTTCCATAATGGCAGGAGAGGCTCACGTGCCTGCTTATAATAGATTCATTTTTAGTAATATACAGTGAGGGGAATTTATCGAAACTGAAGTAGACAAAATCTGGAGAAGCTGTGCATGGTAACCAACAAGCTTCTCTCTTTCATTTTCAAATCTTAACTGAACAAACTGAAGAGAGAAGCTGATTGGTTGCCATAGGCAACTGCTCCACATTTTGTCTGCTCCAGTTTTGTTAAATTCTCCCCCATTGTATACATTGATGAGTCTATACTAACTGCCCAGGGTCAGTTAGTATAGACGTGTGGCGTGTTTATAAGGTTAGTAAATCAACCCCCACGTATCCATTTCGGAGACAAGGCAGTCTGCTGCAAAACAGAAGTTCTGCAGAGCATGAGAACAGATACAGATTTAAAAGGAAGAGCAGCAAAGAGAAGGGAAACAACCATGGATTACAGTAAGGCACACATTACAGTATTGTTTTATGTGAAACAATCTGAGGGTTTAATGTCACTTTAAGTAAGGAAGTGCGGGGGGCTGGGTGTGAACCCAGTTCATCAGCGTTCACCCTGCAAAACTGACTGATGCCCCACACTCTCGGCCCAATCAGCTGTGGCAGGGGCATTCCTGGCGTGTAGCAGCAACAACTGATTGGGCTGGGAGGGGGGTGTCAGTCACAGTTTTGCTCAGGCGATCTGTTTGCACCAAGCCCCTGCATATAATTAAAGTGCAACTGAAGCCAAAGCTTTTTCCTAGTTTTGGATAGAGTGGAGAGGAATTAGAATCGTGTTCAGGTTTTTATTGCTTGTGTCCCCATTAGGGAGGTTCACCTTCTCTATTTCTTCTAGGGACACATTTTGGGTTGTCAAGAGGAATAGATGTGACATTTTACAATGGGGACACTAGTTCTGATGATTCTGCTGACCACCAGGGATTTCCCTGTCTATGAAAGGATTTCCCCTCGCTTCCTGTTGTGGTTATGGAACAGGAAGTGAAGGGAAATCTCCTCCAATGTGACACAATGGCCAAAAGAAGCTGACAGGAGTTATAACCCTCCCTTCTCTATCCAAACTTAAAAAAAGGTTTTGGCTCCAGCTCTGCTATAAAGAGGAAACATCTTGGAATTTAGAAAGTCAGTGAGCGCATCAACCCAGTAGTGTCCACCCAAAATCAACATATTCATTTTCAAATTAACTCTCTAACTCAGATACATTCTCCAAAGGGCTCATAATTTTATATGTTTAACTGTACACTAAAGCCAGTGGCACACTGAACGCGAAGCAGTGCGGAGAAAAGCGAAGCTGCGAGGCGCAGAGCCGAGCACAGCCAGATGAAAGACTTCGGGGTCTATTCACCAAACTGCCGAAGGATCTGGCCGTAGCTTCGGGCCGATCCTTCGGCTAGCTTCGGCCCCAGGACCCCTTCGGTTCAGTAGAACTGAAGGGGTGCTGCACGGGCTATTCACAATAGCCCGTACAGCTCCCGATCATGGCCGAGCGGCTCAGCCGAGGCGAACGCATATGCATCGCCTCGGCTGAGCCGTGCTGAAAGCCGAAGCTGCTTCTGACAGCTGGGCGGGGCCAGCCGTGATCTTACGGCTGGCTCCGGCCACATTCAGAGAGATCAGCGTCCCTGGTTAACTGCTAACCAGGGACACTGATCTCCAAACAGCAAACTCTCCCTGGCCCAGCCGTACCAGCCTGAAGTGAGTAGCCGAACAGTGTTCGGCTCACTTCACTTCAGATCGGTCATTCACTCGGCTGCCCTCGGCAGCTTGGTGAATAGACCCCTTCATCTTCAGCCAATCCAGCTCAATGGATTTCACATCCTGACATGCTAGCTCTTGTAAGTTGATGCACCAGGTCGAAAATTTAAAGACACACTGCAGGCGAAGGTCTGCGCGCCGCTGCTTTCCTTTGCTTCGCATGCAGTGTGTCACAGGCTTTAGGCCTCATGCACTCTGGCGTCTGACACCGTACAATATGAAAATCGGAACCAGGCGCTGTGGCAGTGTAAGCCAATGCCACGGTGGAGGATGGCGACCTTGGTACCCAGGACTCTCAGCCAAAGGGGCTGAGAGGGTCCAGAAAGTAAAGCATGGTATAAGGAAGTCTTTTAGCTTCGCTCGGTAGCTTTCCACAGCTTCAAGACACTCACGCTTGCTCACCCCTCGTGAGCCCTCACTCTGCTCTCTTAGCAGTCTGTCCGACAGGTCCCTGGGGTCACCGACCTTCCTGACCTCTCCCAGCCACCCCTGGCTGTTCCGTGTGCGTCCAGCACGCACCCGAGTTTGTCTGTGTGCTCCCTGCACACACACACAACTCCAACACTCTCCTGAGCACTGGGCTGGCTTTCTGATAAGGCTGCTCTCAGCCACCTGATTAGCCCCGGCTGGTCAATGGCAACACCTGGCCCCAGGACTGGAGATCTCATCCCACCCAGAGCTCTACGAAATTTCCAGAGCTCCAGATCCCAGCTGCAAATAAGAAAACCTGGAATAACCTGAAAAGCCAGGTTCTTCCTTATACCCTGCTTTACTTTCTGGACCCTCTCAGCCCCTTTGGCTGAGAGTCCTGGGTACCAAGGTCGCCATCCTCCACCGTGGCATTGGCTTACACTGCCACAGTGCCCATAGAAATCAATGACAGGGTGCGGCTGTATGCAGTCAGTCTGTGTTCAGGGTTTTATGTTCGTGCATGTTTACATAAGTACTGGCATATACCTGTTTACAGCTGCATCTTGTAATTGATTTTTTTTATCAGCAGCTGTATGCAACAGATATGGCACCCTAGAAAGGGAATAGTCTTGATTTTTACATTGTACAGCTCCAGGTGCCCGTGTACATGAGGTCCAAATCATTCTAAAATTGTTCTTCAGTGCCATATGATGTATACTCTGCTGCAGAAGGTGCTTAGTGCTCTGTAATCAGTTCAACTGCAGTATCGGTGAGCTGCATTCCACATTGACGTATGGAGCGCCACCTTTTGAAGACTTATATTTAGTGGGACTCTACTTACAGTTCTGTAGGCTCTAAGGAAACATTAACCTCAGACTTAAGCTTCAGGTCCTTTTGAATATGATGGTCATTTGCTTGGCGATGATCTCCCATATACAATAAACCAGGTATAATTTCAATGGGATATGGCTGGAAGTCATCTATTTCCTATAATAGAAGAAAACCATACAGTAGGGGTCTTGTGCTGCTTGTACATACACAAATCCTTTCCATCCACTCCAATATCGTTCATTAAAATTTAGCATGTTTATTAATTGGATTAATCAAACGTGGCTATATACAGTATGTGTATGGTCAAATACTGTATATTATATGATAACTGCACATTTAAAACACAGTATATTATATATATTTAAAAATATCCAGACATGCCACCCAACACTACAAATATGACCTAAAAACACATATGCAATGCACCAGGAAAAGCATGAAAAATGCAGACACACAAGTGTGAACCTTGCCTTATGTTGAACTATTTCTCTAGTCTCATTTATCCCAATGGTCAATGGTGTTGTTACAACATTTTAACAGCTTACAAAGTGAAGGGCAGCGGAAGGTTGATCTGAGTGAGACAGAATATGTACACAAAGCCAAAGACTATTGTACAGGAACTGGTATTTTAATGGCTGTATCATCTATAGACCAGGATCTTACTCCGGGTAGTAGATGCTAAATAAAAATGGCCCTGTCCTTCTGGAGACAAACTGGATGAAGACATTTGCATTAAAGAGTGTTTGATGTTTACCTGCGGCATCCAAAAGACCTTCTGTGATCTGAAGAAATGATAGTAGCCAGAAAATTCCTCATAGCCCCCTTTGAGCACCAATACAGGGTAATGGCAGACTTGTGAAATCCCCTTCGCACACTCTAGAGCTGGGCCTGTGAAAGGTGTAGAAGTTATAGAAGTTAACCCTTTAGTATACTGTCACAGCATGAATATAATGAATCGCAATATAACAATGTCACAAGTGTAACCCAAGTAACACAGTGTAGTATTTGTATTAACAACATGAAGCCTTCTTAAACTTCTTACATTTGTTCTTCTGTTGGCGAGCTATCAGCAGTAAAATATTGGATTTACATTTCCATTAGCAGAAAAGTGCATGCAGTTTATAGACTTCAATACTACTGTGTAGCTGCAACCCCAAAATGATAATACTCTCATATTAAGTATGTTTGCAGACACAGAGTGACCAAATGTTAAAGGAATATTCCACTCCTTGCAAAAAATTCATAAATGCACCCATATTGCAACAATTTTTTGCATTGGAGCCGGCAAACCATTGTAACCTCAACCAATGAATCTTGGGTGCAATGCTCAGACTCTTCCTCCAGCGCCAGGTCTGTACAGAGATAAGGACCTTTGGTTATTGGGCTGGAATAAGTTATCATTGGACTACATGTGAGGTGATGTCACTGCACTTAGCCCTCGTTCACACTTGAACGTTTTGTAGCGCGTTCTACGCTCGACGAACGCTCTACAAAACGCTCCAAAATATAAATCCCATTGTATTCCATGGTCTCGTTCCTACCTTGGCATATTTCCCCCGTCCCTAACGCGCTACAAAACGGCCCACGCCTGAAAAGGTACAGGTACTACTTTGGGCCGTTTTGTTGCGCGTTTCCATTGGGATACAGCCAAGTAGCCTTCGAATCGCGGTAAAAAAACGCGCGACAGACGCGCATATGCAATACGCCTAGGTGTGAACGTGAACGAAACGAATTGAGAACTAGTCCCACTGCTGACTTGGTAGTTTTTTTGTCACAGATCCTGTAAAAGGATGACGTGGTTGTGGGCGCCGATCCATGCACAGCTGTGCCAAGTTCAAAAATATACAGGAGCCTGCAGGGAGAAGCACCCTACTATACAGGTAAGTGGGGTTGGAGTAAAGGTAGAAGTAGCCTTTCACCATTTTTTGGTCCAACCTGCTGATGCAATATTTGCCTACATACAGCATATTAGTAATATTTCCTTGCCTTCTCCATCCAAGGAGTTAGTGCGACTATCATACACAACACAGTACTTCATGCAATCCAGCTCAATAGACTCTGGTAACAAGAAGTGCAGATCTTCATCCTATGGGAAAACCAAAGAATTACTTCAAGCAGTCTTCAGTGTCAAAAGAACAAAACACATATTTTCAAAGTGTATTTCTGAGTGAGCCTTAAAGCAGAACTCCGGGCAATTATTAGATAATTAATTTGGATTTCTTTCACAGAATCCTGATGCTAAGGCCTCATTCACACGAGAAACAGCCGGCACATACAGCTCCGTGCACGGCCGTATCAGGCAGCTCCTGGGAAGGGCAGGTGCTGCGTGTGATTAGTACACAGCCCGTCTTTCCCTATGGGACTACGTGGCCGTACGCCCCCCTACATGTCCATGTGGGTGCAGGTGTCCGTACTCGTACACTGACAGGATGGATCCTGTCTGAGCCGGGACACCCGCACCCGTACGGACCTGCACTTTAGGTCAGCGTAGGGCGGCGTACGGCCGCGTAGTCCCATAGGGAAAGACAGGTTCTGCGTACTAATCACTCAGAGCACCTGTCCTTCCCGGGAGCTGCCCGATAAGGCCATGCACGCAGCACGGAGCTATACGTGCCGGCCGTTTCTCGTGTGAATGAGGCCTTAAGAAGAACTCTGGGCATATTAAACATTAACCCTTGCAGTGGGGCTGACCCCACACTGCAAGAGTTAACTGCTCGTTTTTGTCTAGGTGCTAAAAAAAAAGTAATACTCACCTGATCCCTGAAGGTGGCTTGCTGCTACTCTGGTCCCTGAGGCCTCTCTCCCCGTCTGCTGCAGTGATGGAATGTCCCTCAGCATCCTCACGTCCTATACACGGTGTATAGAACGTGATGACTCACGGGACTTAGACCATTATAGCGGAGGGGGAGAGAGGCTGAAAGGACTGGTCTAAGAGCAATCTAGCTCCGTGGTTCGGGTGAGTATAACTTTTTCATTTTTTAGCACCTAGACAAAAACAAGCACTTAACCCTTGCAGTGCAGGGGTAGCCCCACAGCAATGGTTAAGAATATTTATGCCTGACATTGGCTTTTAAAGTAAGAATAGAAAGATGGAATATATCTTTACCATGTAGGGCATAGGAATGAATATGTATCCAAATGGTATAAAAAGAATTGACCTTGTTTTGTTTATCTCACTGTGCAAGTCAAGGCAAACAGCTAAGTACACACTTTAAATATATTATTATTATACAGGATTTATGTGGCTTCAACAGATTGAGCAGCGCTTTACAAAATATGGGGAGAGAGTACAGTTACAATATAACTTAAGACAGGAGGGTTAGGAGGGCCCTGCTTGTGAGAGCTTACAATCTAAAAGGAGGGAACTGGTTTACACAGCAAATTGTACATTCTTTTTCAGCAGGTTTTAGAAGTGACACATTCCTATCCCACTGCATAGCCTGGCAAATGTCCCTCTAATACCCTGACTCAGTAGCTAGGCGGTCAAAGAGGCGGAAAAAGCACTGACCAACCACCAGTTTTTACTGCCCCTGTGATCTTAAAGCCGAACTCCAGGAAATGAGCGTAGTACACAGTTGAAATACAGTATATGGGGCTATTTTGCCCACTGAAGGGTTTGTATAATATTTCTGTCCAGACAGTCTTGAAATATACACAGCCTCATCAGACTTTTCTCTACTGCAGTTTAGCAACACAGCCTAGTCACCTCCTTATCTCCAGGCTATGATTGAACAGTGTAGGCACAGCAAGGGCAGACTGTTATCCCTCTGCCTTCACCTCCTATTGGAACAGGGGTGGGCAACTCCGGACCTCCAGCTTTAAAAAAGAACTCCGGGGGAAACATTTTAAGAACTCCTACAGTGGGGCCACCCCTGCACTGCAAGGGTTAACTGTTCATTTGCGTCTAGGTGCTAAAAAAAGTTATACTCACCCGATCCTCAGAGCCAGCTTGTTTTTGGACCGGTCCGTGGAGCCTCTTTCCCCCTCCTCTGCAGCAGTCTAGGAATCCTTGTGTCATCACATGCCATACACTGAGCAATGGAGAAGAAGACATGCTTCGGTGACTAGAGGAGCAGGGGGTCAGCTTGGCAGCTCAGGTGAGTATAACTTTTTTTGTTAGGACCTAGACAAAAACAAGCAGTTAACCCTTGCAGTGCCCCACTGCAAAGGTTAAGAAAAAGCTTGCCCATAGTTCTTCTTTAATTACAAATCCAAACATACCTCCGCCTCTGCCAATAAATGTCAGTCTTGCAATGCCTCATGGGACTTGTAGTTCCACAACAGCTAAAGGGCCGGAGTTGCCCACCCCTGTGTTCTTTGCCTATCAATTTGAACTTGCCGAAAACTGACTGGCCCTAGTACCCTCTTCCAGTCTCCAAAAGTGTTGTCGTACATTGGATCACAAGAGACTGATACCAAGTAAAAATCAGGGACTTACACTAGTTGCATATGAAAAAATACATTTAGTATTTTGTAATAAACACATAACAGCATCCTTTTTATTTTCTTCATGGAGTTTAGTTCTATGTTGTGAATTCTGTTCTATGCTTTGTCAACAACAAAAATTAAGAAGACCAATATTTAGACACTGTCTGTCATATTAGATGTGAATGAACATATGCGGTATGTACATATACTGTATATATAGTAATATGTGTTCAGTATCTGTAAAAGATACCCGTACCAATTTGTAGGGTAAATCTGGCCGAATTTTCAGCTCATTCGACCGAAATTGTGCATTGCCCTATAGTCATCCCTCCATTCGACACAAGTTGCATTTTTAGTTGACTTTTGTCAAAGCAGTCGTCAAAAATTCTCAGCCAAACAGTGAGTGCAACCAATCAGTTGCAGTTACTGTTAAGGAGAAATTGTGCATTTTTTATCTCGATCAGCCCCGCAAGGCTAAACGAGAAACAAAATAGTGTATGGCCAGCTTTTGAAAGGTAGAGGAGAGTTTCCATTTGACAAAAAAATGTGTGACTACAAACACGCACAATGACCAAAATGTAAGCTAGCCAAGAAATATGCATAGCGAGCAGATGAATGGCATACGTTGGAATGTGACTGAGCTGGAATTGTGAATAGCAAGTGTATGGTCAACAGTGGCCAAATGTTTAATACTTGTCCTCAACATTCTTCAAGCAGTGTAGAGGTCATACAGTGTTTTTATGAAGAGCACACCATGTACTCTCAATAAACTCCACCTGGGAACATATGACATGTATGTGCTCTTTAATTGTTGGAAATTCAGAGTTACAAAAATTGGAAACAACTGAGGTATCCACATCTATCATAGATATGGGTATCATATCTATCTATCTATCTATCTATCTATCTATCTATCTATCTATCTATCTATCTATTCATATGTGTGGAGCTCCAACAAACAGTTTCATTTTAGGAGAGGGGTAGATAAAGTAATGTGGAATTTAAGAGCCAGTCTGTCCAATCCAAGAGCCAGCAGTATTTTATAGGAATCAGCTCCATTGACAACTAGAAAGAAACCTACAAAGTTAGATGTTAGCTGTAATTTGTAAGGAGCATTGGTGGCCTAGCTCCTGGGATATGCCCATCCCTGGTTTAGAGAGTCAAAAGAAAAATGTGCAACAACAAATCTAAATTTAAGAGTTTTTACTGAAATGAATTCTGTATTGTGAACTCTTGTTGCTAACGGTTAACATTGCCTTACTAAATAGGACCACGTGATAGCAATTCTGTAAGGGCCTGTGCACACTATGCTATTGCGGTTACACATGTTGGTGCGACGCGGTGCCATTCCTTATAACACCACCCAATGCACCTTGCCAACGCATATGCATTGCATCGTATGGCAATGCACTACTATGCATGCCCCATTTTTTAGCTGCGCCATGCATCTTAGTGTGTTGCTCCATGTCAGAATTAAGGGCACCACATCACAGCAAAGAACTTGATGTGCGTTGCTATGTATTGCAGTTAAGCACATGGTAATGCGCACGTTACTGCAAGGCATAGTGTGAATGGCCCTTGTAGACTACAAGTCAGGTTTCAATATAAAAAAGACAACCAGTGTGATCCTGTGGTCCGGAAATGCTATAATACCTGCTTCACTCTTCTCGCAGTTATAATGTGACTTTCATTATACTCTCGTTTGGAACGGGCATCTAAAAGGGAACAATGCACAATGCATTATTTTAAACAGTAATAACTGCCAATAAATGTAGTACATAATCACAGACAGCTGGAAATACAAAGGAGTATGCAAGTCAGAAATCTTTCACTCCCAACCTTACGCCCCCAGTAATTTTTATAAGTCATGCTGTGTATGGCTTTATTTCAACGTAAAGGGGTTCATTTATAAAAGTTCTGCCCAGTGTAAAGTCACCAGCGCCCTAGTGCCCCTAGATGAGTATAGTAAATCCCATACTCGTCTGCGCCATCTAGGTGCACTAGTGCCGTGCGAATAGTATCTGCCCAGCTATTCATCGTGTGGAAGTTTTATAAATGAACCCCAACAAATATGTAAAGGCAAACATTTTTTTTTTGATACAATTTGGAAAGTCTGCCAAATTTGTACTGCTATTCCCCGCACTGGGGCCATTTACCCTACTACTTGTCCTGGGGACCATTGTAACAGAAAATGATGTAAAATCAAAAGCATTATAGTTGTCACCAGATGAAGTGAGGGTAAGTCTTCCAATGGGGACACCTGTTTTGGTGACAACTATAAAAAGTGACTTCAGGGAGACTTCCTCCCACTTCCTGTTGCATCTAGAAGAATTAAAGGGAAATCTCGCCAACAGGACACAGATGGCATAAAAAAAATAACCTTACAAAGTTTTAACCCTTCCATAATTTATCCAAAACGAAACAAAAAATTGTTTTATATGCTTTAAGGATAAACACAACCAGTACTTACCCAAAAGACATAAATAGTTTGGTTCAGCAAGTCTGGAGAACTTGGTTGATTGGTTCAGGATGTTGTATAATTCTGTTGGTGTGCATAATAACAACTCGCCCATGTTTCTGGAACATAAAAAAGGTTTTCAGAGGTTGTAAAGTAGATCTAAATCCCAATTGAAATATGGTTTCACTAACGCACTGTGTATCATTAACCCTTTTGCTGCCAAAACCATCTTTGAGGTTTTGTGCACACATGTTAAAATAGTCCACCGCCCCTCCCCCCAAGAATGTTAACATTTTCTTCAAAGCAGAGACCCTGTAGAGTAAAATGGTGGCAGTTGCAATTTTTTATGTTGTGTGATATTAGCACAACTCTTTATCAAATCCACAAAAATTAAGTTAATTTTAGTGCACAGAAACACAATATAATACCCAAACACATACCAAACATGTCAAGCTTTATAATTGTGTGCTCCCATAAAATGGCAAAAATCTACAGTACCCAAAATTGTCTAAGGGCGACGCTGTAAAGGCTTTTACAGACTATCAGTGTAGAGTTCTAATGGTCCTAGAATGATTGCTCTCAGTCCAGCGTGTGTGGCGATACCTAAAATGAGTGTCGGAATCCTTGTTTTGGTACGTACACGCACCTGATGCGTGTTTGCGTTAGTATGTGTTTGTACACAAGTATGGGTGACTTTAAAACAATTTTATCAATGTTTTACATTTTTTTAATGTAATTTTATTTTTTTCAAGCATTTTTTTTTTAACTTAACTTCATTGCTATCACATAGGAGGCTCAAAATCCCCCTATGTGATAGCACAATAGTGGTAATAGGTTCTCCTAAGGGGGCATTAGGGGTCTATTAGACCCACTAATGTAAATTTGAAGCCCATTAAAGCTATTCAAGTACAGATCATGCTTGATCAGCTTCTTAATAACTTAGAGACTGGAAGTGACTAAGTAATTGTTGGTTCCGGATTCATTCTGCAGGAAGCACATCAGCGAATGGATGTTCATTGGTCTCCCTCCCCTCTCTAAGCCATCACCCACCATGCCGGCCCGGGCCCACAGGAGGGGTAGCGCAGCCAGGGATACCTGGCAGGGGGTTGGAAGGGTGGGGCTACATCTTTGACAGTCCATAGAAGTGATAGGGCGGCTTTATAACCACCTTAAACATGTAAACAGACTGTCTGCTTATAGGGGCCTGCTGTTGCCAACGTATGGCATACGTCGGCAGCAGCAAAAGAGTTAAAGGATAATGAAAGGAAAACAAGAGACAAAAACTTTATATATTGCAGTTTACTGGTCCTTTTATGTGGTGGCTGCATTAGTTTTCTTTTTGTCAGACTAAGAACATTTTCAGAAAGTACCGAAAATACCTGTTAATCTTGCCGGAAATGCTGTAACCTTGTCACTTTATCTGGGCTGAACCGGAAGAATAAAACAATCAAATCTTGCTTTCTAAACTTCTAATCTGCTCATCACCCATTTAATCGTGATGAACAATGGCAGGCATGTTTGAACTCCAGCCTGTGTAACAACCAAGGCTACCCTCCAGAAAAATAGTGGAGGAGTGAGCATAACCACCCATGGACAGGAAGTGAGGTATTGATTGATATGTGGAAATAAAGAAAAAAAAGAAAACAAATAGAGCTACTTCATCCCACATAGGTGCTAAGATGCAATATATATATTTATTTATTTTTGGAGGGGGGAGGGTTAGGTATGCTTTAATGTGGAAATAAGCTTAAAATAAATCCCTGATTGGCAGGCTTTAGTTGACAGAAGAGACTGTGTAAGTGCCTTCTCCCATTAAAAGCTTCTAGGTGCCATTCAGCTGGGGTTTTTTTCTGTACACTGAGCTGCACATGCGCAGCACAGTGCACAGATCCTGCACACCGAAATGAAGTAACTCCCGTGCGCATGTGTGACAGTTATGTAATCGGGACTTGGCCAATCAGGTTGAAAAATTGGAACCTGGAAGAAGACCGGGGAGAAGATGGAAGCACCAGCAAAGGAGAAGTGCAGCGCTGGAGGGGATTGCTTTGGCAGGTAAGTCTACCATAATGTGCAAAAATGCTCTGCACATTACATCAGGAGTCCCCCTCTGACACTAGGAGCACTTACTCACTTTGCAAGCCCCCCTTCACATCACAGATTCCCTCCTTCACATCAGAGGCATGACGATGTTTGAAAATTTGGAAGTACCCCTGAGTAAGCCAGAAGGCACCCTGGTTGGGGAAGGCTGTGCTAGACTATATTTCAATCTATTGTCATTTAGTATGGTAATCTGTGTTCCCAAATACGGGTACCACACCTCTGTAATATTTCAACTACAGAATGGCAAGGAATGGGGCTTTAACAATACCACTATAGCAACAGTACATGTGTTACAAAAATACTTTTTTTTCTACATATTAAAATGTATACACACATAAACAAATATTAGAAACCAAAACAGACTCCGTAAAGTAGGTTAGCACATCTCCTATAAACCCACAAACCTATATACAACTTGCAAATCAGATAATAATAATCTTAACTTACATATCAAGAGTATGACAAGTCTGTCATTAGTGGATTTGGTTGATTGCACTGTTAAGGTGGCCATACACTCTACAACCATCGCAAGACTAAAGTCTTGCGATGGTTGTAGAGTGTATGGCCACCTTAAGTGGGGATGTGGTGGGTTTAACACTCCTTCACCTGGATGGCTTCTTCAGAAAAGAGATGTTCACGAAAGACTGATGAGCATAATCAAAAGTTAAGTGGACAGGTAAGTACATACATAGATATAGCATTGGATATATAAGGCAACAATTGATCAAATAAGTCGGCTTACACCACATGAACATGGAGAGTGGAATCAAACAGAAGAGTAGAGGTCACCCTAATGGGGCGGGGGACTACAGGAGGGAGTAACCCGAGGACACCAACAACCAAGGACCCCTCTCAGATATCTATTAAAAAAGAGTCAAACATGTATCTTGCTATGCATACTGAAAACGTCTAAAACGATGTAGCCCTAGCATAACTGAACCCTTTAAGCTGAAGATCCTATCCATAATACAGTATACACTATAACTGAGCAACCATAAAAGGGATCACCACATCTTACTATCCTGTACATCTCGTCCTTTGCAGCCTGTGTGGTATATGAATCTGCACCTCATATAGAGAAACATAAATGGTAATAATACCTCATGGCTAGACCTAAAAAGTTATGGATGAGCAATAAAGTACTCCAGACACAGTGACAGATTTGTATATATCTGTATACTGTTTAATCTATATAAATAAAAAGTCTTATTGTAACACATGTACTGTTGCTATATGGGTATTGTTAAAGCCCCATTCCTTGCCATTCTGTAGTTGATATACAGTATTTCAATGTAGATGCTCGGGGGTACCCTAGGAAAGTCCCTGGCTGGGCTCACTGATGTATAAATGGGGTCCTGATGTATTTGACACCAATTCACTGATATGGAAGCTGGCTAGCAGCGATCGTAGAGGTTACTTACACGTATGGGTGAAAGGCTCCTGTAGACAAATACCAAGGTTGTGGTGTCTGTCCGGTTGCTAGGGACGCGCTATTGGTAACTATGGAGCACAATGGAGGCCCATGGTTCCGTACCCCGCCCCCGGTGTTCATTTCCCTCTACTATGCACGACATATCTGTACTCTACCATTCCTTAATACGCGCAGCATAATTGTAAAATAAATAGACGTATAACATGGGAGAGATTTCACTAACACGTGACCTCAGCTGATCGTGAGGCCTACATAGGTCTCCGGCCTGGTAATAAAAAATGAAGCTCGCGGTAATTCACACGTTTATTCACACCGTGTTTTATGTGACAGGATCACAATGTAGAAAATCGATCGCACTAAATTAGAACGTCCGTCATGGATAAGGCCAAAGGTACTGCGCATGCGTGTAACCGGTCTTTATCTGTGACGGAAGAAGGTCACGGTGAACGTCTCACGCTCCAGGAAGCTCCGCCCCTCGCTTTAGCGCTGTCTCTGCTGCTGGAGGTCGTTGGTGTCACTGGAAGGCTGAGTGTGCTCGTGATCCCCTGCTGTCATGTTCTCCCGTATCGCCAGACCCGCCGCCTGCGGCCTAGTCCGAGGACTGTCCACCAGCGCTCAGGTATCTGTCTGGGGTAATGTGCTGGGGGGAGGGTGGCTGCTGCCAGAGCCGGTATAACGATGATAGCATGGCTCCCTGTGCTGGCCCTCTATGAATTCTATGACTGCAGATTGCTGTATGACTGTCCTCCTGTTCATATATAGTAGTCGGAGGCTCTGGCCATGTCTACTAAATGGTTGAGCATTGGAGCCACAGGTTGCTGCACGGGGCCATGACACTACGTTTATGTGCAAAAGACTAGAGCCATAGGATTTTTTTTTTTTTTTTTAAATTGTGTAGAGTTTTTTCATCTGCAGTATCTGCTGCTCTAAAGAATGATGGCACTATATTTTACTTTAACAGATGACAAAACCCTTTCCCTTCTATTTATTCCTCAATAGCCCCAAAAGAATTAAAAAAAATCCTTTGTGTGCTCCAAATGTCTCTCCATACCCATATATTATGTTGTAAAAGTAATGTTATCCTCATTGCTGTGGGTAGGGCCTTGCAGGGTCCACCCACTGCAGGCTGGCTGCAGAAAACTACAAGAAGGGGTGGCGAGAAGACCAGTCACCCTGCACAAGGGGAGAGAGAGCAGCAGTGACTGGTCTTTATTACAGGAAGCATCTGCAGAGAGGTAAAGCTTCACACTGGATTACTGCACAGATCTAAGAGAAATACACAAAGCGCACACAGGGATACATTTTAGACAATATTTGCTTATCCTGGATTTCAGCTTTTACTATCTCCTTTCTCTCATACGTATTCGATATCTGTGCCAGTAGTAAATATAAAAGTAAGTCAAGTCTTGATCTGCATGCTTGTTCCAGGAAAGTGACTCAGGAAACTCAAGCAATTAAATTACGTGGCAGCTAGACAGGTGACTTTTTTTTTTTTTTCTTTTTTTTCTCCTTTTTATAGAGTAAGTCAGCAGTGACCACCTCCCATTTTTCTATCAGCAAGTTGAAAATATGATAAATATGAATGGGCTGTAAATGGATAAAATAAGAAAACCAGCTTTGCTGCAAGATTCACCTTCAGACTAGAGTTTTCCCCCTGCAGTACATTTTTCTGCCACTAGATGTCCTTGGTCTTATATCATTCAACACATTTCTTGAGCCCAGGTTGTCCTGGATCTGTCCCAGTCTGTGACTGGACAGTGAAATGAGAAGCAGCACAGTGATGAGCTTAGCGCTCTCACTCTGCTTCTCCTCCTATTAGCCCATCTTATCAGCACATGGACTGATGGGCTTTATGTGCTGTGTCTTCCTGTCAAACAGCCCTGGTGTGCAGGGGCCCTGAGAGGTTGATGATAAACCCAAGATTACCTGACTTTGATTTTGTAACATCTGGCTTCCAGGATAGACCTTCACATAGTTCTATACTGTAGTACATCCCTCTCCTTTTTATCGGTGTGTTTTGGTATTGGGGCTGAAGGTTTTGCTGGAACCACTGAGCACACGTCAACGTATTTTCCAATCTGTTTTCTTATTGACTAAGTATAACTGGCTTCATGTTCTCCAGAGAAGCTGCCGAAGAGTTAAGTGGAACAGGGGTGCCAACAGGGCAACCTAAAGCTTGAATCTTGGCCGAGTCAATGGGACTTTGAGCAGTTTGTGGCTGGCTTTAATTGATCTAAAGCAGGAGAGGGCAACTCTAGGCCTCTTGCTGTACCTCAACTGCAACATGCTTCTGGGAGTCATGTCTATGGCTGTTAGTTTTGCACTTATAGTTATAGTTCCACAATAGCTGGAAGGTTGGAGTTGCCCACCCATTATTTAAAGCCCAAGCCATCCTAATTCTGGGTCTTTTGAGAGATGGCTCTCCACCTGTAGCAAGCACCAGACCTAGAGATTAAAAACCCTCCAGTAGCTCCCTGCATACACACATTTTCTGTTTGTGTTAAAACAAGCTCTGCAATTTTTTTCTTTGTGTCCCGTTGGGGAGATTTCTCTTTACTTCCTGTCCTGAGATTACATCTGGAAGCTAGAGGATATCTCTACAGTGTGGCAAAATCCCTTCTTGGGTGTCAGTGGAGCACATCCCACATTGAAAGACTTGTTCTGTTCTGGATTTCCCATTTTCCGTCCCAGTGATAATGGCCACCAGGATTTATAGAGTAAAAAGATGGCAATAAAAACCTGTCGGAGGTTCTAATTCTTCCCCAATAGACCCAAAACCTAAAATGTTTTGATTTTAGGTGTACTTTGACCTTGTAGTATCTGTACTTTAACTTGACCTTGTAGTTTCTATTTAGTAGTCAGTGACATTGAGGACGGTTGAATGAGTATCTAGTAAAGTATATTATAAATGGTATGTGATATGCCGATTAGCCCCTAATGTGAGTGCTGACATAATTCTGTTCACACACTGGTGGGTCCACAGTGACCGAATTCAGTATGTCATGCAAAACAGTCAATATAACACAAGGATAACTGCTTGCAATAAGAAACATTGGTACACTTTCAGCTTTTGTCATTTTCATTTATTGCTGATGCCATCATTTTTCAGGGTTATTCACTAGGTAAAGACTTTGGAGAAGGCAGGTAAGTGAATAACCTAACTGATTGGGAAAAATTCTCCAATTCAGCTATGTTGTCCTAGATTGTTCACTTCTCCTGCCTTCTCCAAACTCTTCATCCTTTAGTGAATAGACTTGTTTGACTGAACTTTTTTTTTTTTGTGGCACAGCAATAACGGGCTGCACAAGTTTGTAATAAAAATGCTTTCTCTGTGCACTGCTGACTATGCGAACATCAGTTAGCATAATTGTCTGAGGAGATGCCATGACTACAGATGAGCATTTTTGCAAAGAACGCTGCATGAAATCTACTTTGGGGTGGATCACCTTTTCAGTAGGCTGGAAGTATTATAACTCGGCATTGGGAAAGCCTGCCACGCTGTTAAGTTGTGTAAGTGTCTGCCTGATGTTACCCACACTGAGCTCTATCCCTCTTTAGTAATCTATTTGTATGAACAGAGGTTATCTTCTGTATGAAAGAAAGCAGTAGTGAAAAGTGGGACTTTCAGTTGTTTCTATAATGTGCTGTATGCATTTTGTTCATATGGCCAGATGCTTTATACACAAGGAATCTGTTCTGTGAATCATCCCACCTTTTCTACTTGTGGGCTAGTGAGAATTGCTTCAGCCTCCTCTCTGGATAGAATGTTGGTGAAGCCCCACCTGGCTTGCAGTTTGACGTTCTGCAAATTAATGATTTTATTGGTCATACTCATAGTTTTAAAATGAGGAATAATTGAAGTGCACAGCGAGGGGCAAAGGTTGTTCACACATGACTTGGCATATTAAATAATAGTTAGCGAAATGGTTTTGTGTGTAAGTCAATACTTCTAACAGTCTGAGGGCAGAATTGTTCTCTTGTCAAGGAGCCAAACCGATTCTTAAAGTGACATTAAACTCAGGAGTGAAATCTTAAAAATGGATTCAAGTACCCTAACTATCAAACATGTATCTTATTTGTATTAATATACGAACAGGCCTAACTATCCATAGAATTCCAATACTGCAGACTTTATTGAAATTCACAGCAAATCCATTTGGCATTTGTTGCTTTATACACTTTTATTCACTGTTGCACTGGATTTGCTGTGAATTTCAATAAAGTCTGAAGTATTGGAATTCTCTGGATTGTGCGGTCTGTTCGTATACTACACCATTCCAAGGTGGAGACGCAACTATTAGACCAGCACCTGGGGAGTCCTGATGGTGGCTAAGGAATTGGAGCTGCCAGATTTCCTTTGGCTCTACATGTATCTTATTTGTGTATCACTCAGCTGTAGATCCTCAAATCTGAGGGCCTTGTCACACCATATCCATGGTTCTCCAGCGCAGTTCTGGGGAGGGGGCGTGGCGGTGACATTCATGTCAATGGTACCGCAAACACTCCCGCAGTACGATCGCCTGCACCGGAACGTGAGCTACAGGAATGCCCTCTGTTCTGGTGTAGTGCAGAGGGCATTCCTGCACCTCACGTTCTACTGCGGACGGCCGAGTGACGTGTTTGGCACCGCCATGCCCCAGAACGCAGCCCGGCTTGATCTGTGTGTTCCTGGCTTGAACTGCACTGGATATGGTGTGACGGCCCTCATTTGGTAGTGATCCTGTCCTTCCTTCCGGAGGGTGGCTACTTTTTGTTCCCCATTGTGTGTGTGTGTGTGTGTTGTAAAGTAGCCACGGCTCCAAGCTCACTCCCGTGATGGACTACAATCTCAGTACAAATGTGAAATTGGAGCGGTGACTAATTTGACTGGTTCTCAACTCAAAACTACTGAGATCGGACAACTAAGCAGCTTGCGAATTTAGCAGGTCAGCAGTGGCAGGCCCCATAACTCTTTCATGACAATTATTTTCAATGTGTGACATTGGGGATTGTACTACTGTACTATTAGCCATTTGCAATGTTTTTTAATCAGTTTTATATTTTTTTTTTCTCATCTCCTCAGAACAATGCCAGGGTGGCAGTGCTTGGAGCCTCTGGGGGCATCGGGCAGCCTCTTTCTTTGCTGTTGAAGAACAGTCCTTTAATCAGCAACCTTTCTCTCTATGATATTGCTCACACACCAGGGGTTGCTGCAGATCTGAGCCACATTGAAACCAGAGCCAAAGTCACAGGTAAAATTAATCATAGTTTTGAACCATTACTTTTTTAATTTTAACTTCTAGCAATTAGTGATAGGAAGCACTTATTTGTTTGCCTTGGCTCCTTCTGTTCATTTTTGGGTGGCAAAAAAGTGAAAGATGGGACTAACATACAAAGAGTAGTAGATATTTCATGGTGTACAAATTAAGTTGTTAGAAACTGATACTATAAAGGGTCACTACCACTTAAAGTGAGAACGGGTTATTAAAGGTGGAGGGATATAATCTATATGCATATGGGACTTTTAACAAGCCTTTTGACAGATTCACACTTTTTCTCTCTGTTCTGAAGCAAATTGTTTGCCTTGCTTTTTCTCAAACTGATTTTGTAAAGGGACAATGCATTGTCTGGTTCACTTTAGGTGAGGATGAGCCTAAAGCTGGCCATACACCTATAGATTATCTGCAAATTTTCTATGGTCAGAATGGGAAAAAGTGCAACAGATTCCTCCATCTACGCTAAACTGTGTGGATGCAGGAATCTCCCACTGGGCCAGGCTTCAGTATCTTGCTAGTCGGCCCCGCTGGCCCTCAAAATACCTGAACAATCTGATTCGATGCAGGCATTGTTCAGGTATTTTGAGAGCCAGATACTGAAGCTTGGCCCAGTGGGAGATTCCTCCATCCACACAATTTAGTGTAGATGGAGGAATCTGTTGCACTTTTCCATCTGACCATAGAAAATCTGCAGATAATCTATAGGTGTATGGCCAGCTTTAGAAAGCTTTTTACCAGCCTGAAACTTGATCTGTATCCCAGTGCAGAATGTTTGGGAAATGTAGTGAGCAAATTGTACAAGTAGAAAATAACCTTTCTGAAGGGAGTTTTATATTCCCTTGAGTGTCCATGTTGTGTAGAACATTCCTGTTACAACACAGGCTGCAAAATAAAGAGTGCCTTAAAGAGGAACTTTACCCAACAATATAGTAATCTCCCAAAACTGTTGTTATTTTTAAGTCATGCCAACTGTCAAGGCTGCCAGCATGCTTATTTCAGCTCTCAACCGAACTTTCAACCCCTAAATGACTGGTGTGATGGCTGATCACATGTGCAGCTCTAGAGCAGATACATTTCCAAAAATAAGCTAAGATGGCACCTTCCTTGGAAGGAAGGCATAGGAGGGTGTAGTTCTGATTTTAGAATCCTGCTTTTTCTTTCCGCTACAGTAAAATGGCCCCCATCCAGTCTTGATTTTTGCAAGGCCTGTATTATTACAATGCTGTGTGTCTCTAAGATTAGATTACTCTTTTACAGAATATTGATTCCCTTGCTATTAGTCACTAAATGTGACATCTTTTCCCACCCAGCCTCAATTTTAAACTATACAGTACCCTTGCAAGAACCACATACTGCAGTGTGCAAGTTAAAGTTGTAGAACTACTGTGTACGGTAGAGCATCTAGCAAAATGGGTATTTAGAGCAGGATTTGGTCTTTTTCTCCATTGATTTGCCTCCATTTTTTTTTTATTTTTTTTTTTTTTTTTTTTTAACTGCTTCAAAAATTGTATTGCACTTTATCAACAGGATACATTGGAGCAGAGCAACTTCCAGAGAGCCTAAAAGGTGCTGATGTTGTTGTCATCCCTGCTGGTGTTCCCAGAAAACCTGGTAAGACCCCTCCTTCAACCCCCTCATCTAAAATATGTCCTATAACCAGTTCATGATCTAAGGAGTAGCATGTTGCATATCAACAAATTCCTTTAACGTGACCCTAAGCTCAGGAGCTGAATCTTAAATACTTTCAAGTATCTTCACTATTCACAAAAATGTATCTTATTTGTGTATCACTCAGCTGTAGATCTTCCAATCATCTCTGAATTCATACTGACACTGTCCTTCTGGAGGGTGACTACTTTTGTTCCCCATGGTCTCTGTGTGTGTTGTAATGTACTGCTAGCTCGCTCCCGTGATGGACTATGATTTCAAACTGGTAAACTAAACATGAGATTGTATTGCATCACGGGAGCAAGCTTTGAGTGGTGGCTACTTTACAACACGCAGCGGGACCAAGGGGAACAAAAGTAGCCACCCTCCAGTAGGCAGGACATTGTCAGCCCCAATTCAGAGATGGTTTGAGGATCTACAGCTGAGTGATGCACAAATATACTACATTTTTGTTAATAGTTGGGTACTTGAATGCATTAAGATTCATCTCCTGAGTTTAGTGTCTTGTATATTTTTTTTTTTCTTCCTCCAATGCTTGATAGGATATTAGGATTAATAGCTTTTTCTTTTCCTACTTTTTGACACCAGGCATGACCCGTGATGATCTGTTTAACACAAATGCATCTATCGTCGCCACACTGACTAATGCCTGTGCTAAGCACTGCCCAGAAGCCATGATTTGTGTTATCGCCAATCCCGTGAGTTCAGTGTTTTAATATTTATATTATGTGCTGTAATTATGTAGTGACTGTTACCATTTATGTCTTTGAAAGACAAGTTTGTTTGCTTAAGGGAAAGAAACCCCCCTTCAAAATATTCTCCTCGCTTGTCTAGCAAAAAGTGTTTCTTTAGATTCATCTATTGATATGTTGGGGTTCTGTAAGTAGCACACTTTCATTGTCTAGACTTCACTTTTAATTTTGCAAATACTACAAAGGGATTTTTTTTTCTCTTTACTAGGTAAACTCAACTATTCCTATTACTTCTGAGATTTTTAAGAAACATGGTGTTTACAATCCTAACCATATTTTTGGTGTTACTACCCTGGACATTGTTCGAGCCAACACATTTGTAGCTGAGCTAAAGGTAAGTGAAGATGTGTGCCTAATGTTATAGAAGTGTAATGCAGGTCACGCTTCTTGGGGCCTGTTCACACTTGTGGGCCATTAAATGCATGTTGCACTACACACAAATGCATGATGAGATTTGTGATGTTTTAGCCATGAACACACAGGGGACTGCTATTGATTACAACACTGATCCTTGTGTTGGCAGTTACATATACACTTAACTGACTCAGAAATTCAGGACTCCGTTTCCATTGGCGTGAATGGTAAAATTCAGGTCTCTGTATCCAACATGCAGCATATGCGACTTCTGCATTTGGGGGGAAAATGAGATCTATTTGAAAACTACATTATTTCCCTTGAATTCCATGCATCGTGTGATTATAATTTTAAAAATGGGGGGGGGGGTTTGGTGACCTATCTTTAATTTAAAAATGTTGTTTTTCAGCCATATTTAGGGTGTAACATATAAGGTCACATTCCCTAGCCCCCCTTCCTCAAACGGGGCACCCTCCCTTACCTGTGAACTTTATGAATTCATGGAAATTCGTGGTGGCTGACCATTACTTTGCACGCACAACCGCATTCATTCTTCTTTCTATAACATTCATTCACAGGATCCGTGAATTAAAAAACAAAACGCAAGTCCCATCTTGCATAGAGACTAGTAGATCTCACTGGAGTACTGATGCAGTGGTGCCATTACACTTTGTAGTCCATTAAATACTTTCTCCTGTCCAAAACTGAGGGTCTGTATGGGGCTGGTGGAACAGTCTACAGGAGCCTGTCCACTGCATCCATGGTCAATTGATTGTGGTTTCACTGCTTTGCAGGCTCAATGCAAAGAAATTAATGCACATTTCATTAATGTGTGCACTTTTCTTTTTGAAAAGATGGACTATGTCTTTAAAAATGTAGATAAACACTATTTGTCCAAATTTGCATACTTATTTTGATACGTGATGCATAGTATTAAAGCCATTATGATGGTCAGATAACTAGCATTTGCAGTAATAGCGGCCCCCATATTTTCACCTGTTTTTTTTTTTTTTTTACTTCTGTTACTACAAATCATCATTCCTTTTTAAAATGTTGTTTTCCTCTTAGTTTTGTTGCTTGGGGTCAAAATGTCCTGGGAGTCTGATACTAAAAGACCATAATAACCATATATACACTGAGTGGCCAGATTATTATGACCACCCCATCAGTACTTCGTTGGGCCACGAGATGTTGAAATGTGATGCGAGGAATCTGACACTGCACTGTTGCCCTTCTGTTGTCTTGTACCAGTCTTGCCCCTCTCCGTTCTGCCCTAACATTGACTAGTGCTGACGGCCACAATTCGCAGGTTCAGACCCAGATTTTCGGCTGACAGTCCAGTCTTTAAACACTTTAACAACAGCTGCTCTTGAACATTTAACTAATTCTGCTGTCTTGTTGATACTCGCTCCATGGCTCCAAGCGCCAACAATCATCCCACGTTCAAAGACTGTTAAATCGCGTTGTTTACCCATATCTTCAGAAATAATCACTTCTACTGTCGTGGTAAACAACCTGCTTTCCTATTTATAATGGTCTGGCCGTCTAGCAACTTCAGTGCCAAATTATAGCTAATTTGTCTACAAACGTCAGGTGGTCATAATAATCTGGCCGCTTAGTGTATACACACAGACACTTGGGTTTTAGACTAAATTTAAAAGATTAGAACTAACCTGGAAAATTCTGCCTGTCCTTTATTTTGTCCTTTTCAGGGTCTGGATCCAGCACGTGTGAATGTTCCTGTAATTGGTGGACACGCTGGCAAAACTATTATACCACTGATTTCTCAGGTATCGTATGCCTTTTCATACACTATCCTTTTGTGCTCAAGCGTTTTATCTGAGGCTTGTTAGGTTAAATAAGTGGGGCTGACTGGTTTCAATATGGTGGTTCAGCACTATTCTTTACTAAAACGAAAATCATGAGTACCCTGTTCATGCTAGAGGATTATGGCTTTATAATGCAGGGGATTGGGAGAGCTATAAACGCTACTTTACATGTTTTTTATAGACCTTTCATGTTTAGTTTTTGCCTTCTGGTTATCCAGGCACAGATCTACCTGTTCATTGTAAACCCCCCCCGTAATATCTTGGTAGAGATAAATGTGCTTTCATGTGTAACTCCCAGATCTCCCTTTTTTTGCTGCAGGCCAGTGTGGTATGCAGATGAATAGCTTTTTTCTAGGGGTAAAGAAACTTTTCCACAAACTTTGCTTTTGCCCTTACCTCTTAATTAGGTTCCCTCCCCCCTCCACCACTAGCAGGATCTTGTTCAAAGGCCTGTGGCATTGTCTTCATGTCTCTACTGGCTTCTTGATCCAACATTCATACCTGTGCATTTTGGCCACATATCCTCCTATGGGGCTGCTGGAAGGATCAGCTCCTGTCCATCTACTAGCTCCGTAGGATCCTATGGGGCTGAACTGCACAGATGCGCATGTCAAATCAAGAAGCAGTTAGGTTTGTGGGAGGGGAAATAATAATTTTTTTTTTTTACTGTATTATAATGTGGCATAAGTGTAGAAACTAAGACTTCAAGGTACTTGGGAACATAAAAGTAACCATGGCAAGTAGACTTCTCCACTGGAGTCCTCATAGCTGTAAGAAGCCAGTGGATGACTTGTCCCACTCGACTGATATATCACTTGATAACATGTATAGCTGAAATCCCTTTTTTTTGTGAATTAGTGCTTCAAAAACCTAAATCTGTTTTTTTTTATTTTTTTATTTTTTTAGTGCACCCCCAAAGTAGAATTTCCACAAGACCAGTTGGAACCCCTTACTTTGAGGATTCAAGAAGCTGGGACAGAAGTGGTTAAAGCCAAAGCTGGAGCAGGTATGCATGTGTGTGTGTGTGTGTGTGTGTGTGTGTGTGTTGTTTAGGTGTGTGTGTTTAGGCTAAGGATGACTGTATGATTTGTATAATTCAGCAGTGGTGGAAGGGATTATGAAGTTATGGAATGGATTAGAAATTATGGTCTGCTCTCTTTGCATTTGGTATGTGTTTTGGTAAACTTTTATTGCCAGGTCTGGATGTTCCTTTACTTTGTACTGGTGACTGCTTAACACCTGGACAGAGGGTGAATCTACCTGTCGAGGATAGATAAATATTCTGTCTAATTCCTTTAAATACCAAAAATGCTTTTAGCAGTATTAAATTGCACTGTAGTCTA